TATAATAGCAAATTACGAATAATATTATTATTCAATTTCCTGATGCCAGCAAACCGATCGATCTCAATTGAAAATTTCTTACAATAATCAGTTCAAAATGTATTGTTTTATTTTTCAAATAAAATATATAATGCCTAGCCAATTATTATTTGCGTTTTACTCAAGCTAATTACAATTTAAAAAGTACACTAATTACAATTTAAAATTACATTAATTATAATTTAAAAAGTTTACTAATTGTAATTTAAAAGGATACTAATTATAATTTAAAAAGTACACTAATTACAATTTAAAAAGTACACTAATTACAATCGTTAATTACTGTTTAAAAGTATTCGCACGGGTCTATATGAAAATCATGTGAATTTAAAAATCACTTGATTTTCATATAGACCCGTGCAATAAGTAAACGAAAAAAGCACGGGTTGTTACATAAGACCCGTACGATAAACTCCGTTTCACTACGTTCCTGGTATTTTCATCCACCAAAGTTTATAATTTGACTTATGGCATGGGGCCAAATCTTGCTGAAATACTAAATTTAAATCATTACGCATCCATGGCACTAAATATTTTACAAGGACATTAACATAAACATCCGAATCCATTAATCACAACTAATGGACCAACTCCACACCAACTAAAACAGCCCTAAAACATTACAGATCCACCGTTAAATTTAACAGTTGACTTCATACAATTTACGTTATATTCTTCTCCTACTCTTTGCCGTACTTTGACCAGCTGGCTTTTTTTTTTTTAAGTTTTATATTTTATAAATTTTTTGGAAGGCTTCAAACTTTGACTCGGCCGGGCTTATGAAAATCAATTCATAAATTATGCCAATTTAAATATTTGGGAACTTTGCTAGAAAATACCTTCCAAGGCTATGTGGATTTTATGAATAAAATTTAAATTTGCCAGTAATCAATTTTGGATGATTTTTTTTTATTTCATAAAACCTAGTGAACTCTATGAAATAAAAAATGGTTATTCAAAATTGGATTACTGGCAAATTTAAATTTTATTCATAAATCCACATAACCTCGGAAGGTCATTTTCCTAGCAAAGTTCCCATTTAATAAATTATTAAAACATACATACAGTATAACTCATTAAAATGAAAAGAATTTTAATTTGTAAGTTGACACTAGTTGCAACAAAAAAATAATTATAAATAAGTTTACATATATATAATTATTGGTAATTAGAATTTCCTTGGTTTAATCTTAACCAATAATTCACGACAAGTGGTAATAAAATCACCATCATATTTAAGTGGAGCATTAATATCCGCCAAATCAATATCGTAACTCCTGTAAACTAATGCTATTAAACATTTTAATTCTATTATTGCAAATTTTCTTCCAGGACATATTCTCATTCCACTTCCAAACATAGAATAAGAATTTTTCATTTTTTTCTTTTCAAGTAAATATTTATCATCACTTTCTTCAACTTTATAAAATCTGTCAGGATCGAATTTTTCAGGATCGGTCCAATAATTTTTATTTTTCATTATTGAGCCAAAATGCATGTGAAAAACAGATCCTTCTGGCCATTCGTATCCTCCAACGTTATCACTTTCGGCACTTACGCGACTGATAGCAAAAGCTACAGGACGAAGACGATTTACTTCTTTAATAACTGCTTCGCAATATTGTAATTCTTCAAGATCATTATATGTTATAGGTTTTGTTAAGTCATTTCCAAAAACTTTATCGAATTCTTGCCGTAATCGTTTTTTTGCTTCAGGATTATGTTCGAGATAATATACGATAAAGCAAAACGTATTCGCCGCCTATAATTTAACAAATGAGTTTATATATATAAAAAAAAAAGTTTAAAAATTTAGTATATTTACTTACAGTGTCAGATCCTGCGATAATTGCCTCAATCATATTGTCAACAATCTCTTTATCGTTCATTGGTCTCAAAATATCTACCGCTTCACCATGTTTAATAATATTTATATCACGTGGAGTATTTGTGGTTATAAATGACGTTAAAAAATCATGACGAAGTGGTTGATCTAATGGAGTATTCTCAATTTCAATTCTTCTTTCTTTGACAATTTTACCCACTTTATCAAAAAGACTTTCCTTATTTTTTAAGTAATACTTTATTTTTCCGCGAATAAATGGAACATTATTACGTATAAACTTATTAAAAATGAAAAAATAACAAACACCATCCATATAAGTATGAATTGATTGAACAAAATCTTCAGAAGATTTCAATTTTTCTTGATCATTTTCATTTAAAGACTTAATATTTTCAGAAGCAAAAACGGTATAATAATAAGCAGCAACAGCATTATTCTTTACTCCAGTTGTAGTTTTAAAAATAATTTCATTTGTAATTCTATGCATCCAATCTGCAAGATCAAATTCTTTATTTTCATCAATTTTATTCCAATAGGAATCTATTTCTTTCCGTAGTTCATTTGTCCATTCAATAGCTAGAAGTTCAAATTTTGAAGAAAACATAGCCTGAGAAAAAAATTGACGATTAAATCTCCAAGATTTGGGTTCATTATTATTTCCTACTCCTGCACCAACTCCATATTCAATAAGTCCTTCTGTATCTTCAAATCTGTTAGGATATTTGGTTTTTGTTGAATTGTTATTAATATTTTCAATTAAATCTGGTCTACTTAATACGATTTTACGTTCTCCTGCATAATATACCGTAGTGCACTGACCAAAGTACCCCCCTTTTTGCGTACCCCCCACTCAAAAAACCCGGGTACTTTGTATAG